TTAATCTGGGCCACACCCTCTGCTGGAGGCCTACTTAAGGACAGTGGAAGAAGGAAGGCGTTCTTCTCCACCTGCTTGCACTCACTTGCCAGCACATCTGTTAGAGCCTACTTCTTCAGGATTCCAGCTTATGCAGAAGACCAGCCTTGTGGGTCTGAGCAGCTACTAGGTTCTTGGACTTCCCATTCACAGGTGCCCATTGTTGGGTTAGTTGGACTGCAGACTGAAAGTCATTCCAATAATTTCCTTTAATATAGAGACAGTTCATAAGTTCAGTGACGCTAGAGGACCCTGATTAAGACAACACCCTACACTGACCTCTGTCTTACAAACACAAGCACTTCTGTGCACATGACACACAAGAAGACATAAGTAAAAAACAAACCAAGAGCAGCGTGCCTGCGTGCTCCTTGTCCACTCCTTCCATTCTACCCTGTGCTCTCCCTGCAAAAGTGAAAAAGGAAGTTCAAATCCCCAAAGGCCATGTAAATGCCACTGGCTGATACAGCCTGCAGTCTGCGGAGACAGAGAATCCACCAAGCAAGCTGGCTAGCCATATCAGCTGGCTCTGGGTTTAATTGACAGACCTTGACACAATGAACAATGAAGTGATGTTATGGTTCAAAAATTGAAAACAAGCCAAGCAGGCACAAGAGTCCAGCAAAGCAAGATTTTTATTTGAATTAGGCAGCAAAAACTGACCAGTCAGAAACAACAACATAGACTGGGGAGTTGACTAAATCTTTGAACATTCATCTTAGTAAGCAGATAACAAAAAACATTTTTGTACTCAGGCCACTATTGATCAATCAGGGCCACAGAACTAAGGAGCTGAATTGCAACCCTGAGCCAGATTGTTAAGAGTTTTAAAGCCTCGGGCTGGTGAGATGGCTCAGTGGTTAAGAGCACTGACTGCTCTTCTAGAGGTCATGAGTTCAAATCCCAGCAACCACATGGTGGCTCACAACCCTCTGCAATGAGATCTGATGCCCTCATATGGATGTCTGGAGACAGCTACAGTGTACTCACATATAATAAATAAATAAATAAATGAATAAATAAATAAATCTAAAAAAAATAGTTTTAAAGCCTCAAAACCACAACCATCTGTGCCAAGTTATCTCACCAATCAGGAATTAGGGATAGGGGACTTCCTTAGGAACATGTCTTTGTGGTACACCTGTTTCCATTGGTTGGGTTATTCAACTGGGGCAAGGCAACTCGCCTAACATAACTGACAACCAGGAAGTCAGTAACCCACGTACATGTCTCTGCCAAGCAGAATGTCAGTTATCCAGGGAGGTCTTGAGAACTTCAATTTTATTTGACCCCTATTCAAAATGGAGGTTTTATTCAAAATGGCTTCAGTTTGGTTCCTTCTTACAGTAGAAGAGCAACCAGGGTTCTCTACACACAAGTGTGCTGAAATAGATACACACACACACACACACAAGGGGGTGTGAATTCTCATCTTATCTGGTAAATGCTTTAGCACATATGGTAACATCTCCAGGATCTTTTTGTTTGTTTGTTTGTTTTGGGGTTTTGTGTGTGTGTGTGTTTTGTATAATGTGTATAGGTGTTTTCTCTTCATGAGTGTCAGTAAGCCAGTGCATAGAGTGACCAAGGAGGCTGGAAGGAGACACCATCTCTGTCTTAGTGTTTCTATTCCTGCACAAACATCATGACCAAGCAGCAAGTTGGGGAGGAAAGGATTTATTCAGCTTACACTTCTACATTGCTCTTCATCACCAGAGAAAGTCAGGACTGGAACTCAAGCAGGTCAGAAAGCAGGAGCTGATGCAGAGGCCATGGAGGGATGTTACTTAATGGCTCGCTTCTTCTGGCTTGCTCAGCTTGCTTTCTTATAGAAGCCAGGACTACCAGCCCAGGGATGGCACCACCCACAATGGGCCCTCCCACCCTTGAGCACTAATTGAGAAAATGCCTTACAGCCTGGTCTCATGGAGGCATTTCCTGAAGGGAGGCTCTTTTCTCTGTGATAACTCTATCTTGTGTCAAGTTGACATACAAAGCCAGCCAGTACAGTAACTCCCATGATAGTGGAGTTATAGATGTTTGCAAGCCACCATGTTGGCAGTGAACACTGAGCCCAGGCCCTCTGCAAGAACAGTTAGTGCTTAACTGTGGAGCCATCTCTCTAGCCCCACCATCCAAGGTTCTAGGGATTAGGACACTAGCATGTGGGTAAACTATGAAGCAACTCCATTAAGCTCATCTAAATCTTAATCCCTTTCCCATTGAACGGATGTTTGGCTCCTACAGTTTTCCTTCAGACATTATTTCCTATATTCTGTGGAGATATCAGCCAATTTTTGATTCGCTGTAAATTTTACAAATGATGGGGCAGCAGCAGACATTCTCGATCTTAGAACAAAGCAGGTTGAGACAGGAGAATAGCCTATGTATTTGAGTGCATAGCCCTGGCTGTCCTGGAACTCACTCTGTAGACCAGGCTGGCCTCAAACTCAGAAATCTGCCTGCCTCTGCCTCCCAAGTGCTGGGATTAAAGCGCCATCACTGCCCAGCAGTGATTTTTTTTTTTGATTTTTTGAGACAGGGTTTCTCTGTGTAGTCCTGGCTGTCCTGGAACTCACTCTGTAGACCAGGCTGGCCTGTCAAAAGAAGTCTTGTTTTAATACTGCTCTCTTCAACTGTGTTCTTTTGTACCCCCTAGACTTTTATTTTCATTTGGATTTTTTTGAGAAAGTTTCTCTGTGTGGCCTTAGCTGTCCTGGAACCCGACTTGTAGACCAGACTCGCCTCAAACTCAGAGATCCACCTGCCTCTGCTTCTTGAGTGCTGGGATTAAGGCATGTGCTACCATGCCTTAATGTATGTACCCCCTATACTTAATAAATTCAAATATTCTAAGTTGGGCTGCTGAGATGTCTCAGCAGTTAAGAGCACCGACTGCTCTTCAGGAGGTCATGAGTTCAAATCCCAGCAACCACATGGTAGCTCACAACCATCTGTAATGAGATCTGATGCCCTCATGTGGGTGTCTGAAGACAGCTACAGTGTACTTGGGGCCAGAGTGAGCAGGGCCAAGTGAGCAGAGCCCGAGTGAGCAGAGCCCAGAGCAAGAGGGAGAAGGGAAGGGGGAAAAAGAAAAAAAAATCCCATCAATATTTGTATTTAAAGTTTGTCAAGATTTCATTCTTCCATCAATTTCTCATGTAGTTTGGGCTATTTTGGTATTAAGTTATTTCTACTAACATTCACTATAAACCAAAAAAAGCTGATAGCTTCTACTTAATTTTTGCTTACTTTATAAGAAAATTGTGAACATTTTCCTCAGATAATCTCATTTCTCTTGAGTGAAAAATGTCCTTAGGATACAAAAGCCTATACTTCAGTCTGGTAGAAGTGTTGGTTCCAGCAGCTCTGACTTCTGGAATGGGTCGCTAGAGACTGGTGCCGTGTGCTGAAGAGATTGTGGACTGCCTCTGAGCTTAATGAAAACACCTCAAGGAGCCACGTTCTCTCCTTCCACATGCTACCCCTTGTAAACTTGTTAGTGGGGACTTTTAGTAAGTATTCGTTGCAGTAGTCCCAAATAATCCAGACTGGACTATTACATTTATTTAATAAGCTTTAAGGCACAACTGAGCAGTATTACTCTATTTTAATCCTCTAAGCTAATCTGGCTACCTCCCAGTCAAAATCCCAGTGATAGTCACATTTCAGTACTGATCTGGCTTTCTGGGCTCCAGGTGGTTTCTCATGGTGTCTCCAGGACTCTCTTGCCAGGGCAAATCCCACCCCTTCCTTCTCCCCTTCCCTCCTCCTCTGGTTTGGAGGAAGTCCAGCCCTATTTTTCTCCTGTTCAGTCACTGGGTAATCGGCTTGTTTACTGACTAATCAGGGAATAATTGGGGAGCAATATTTTGTAAGCAGATATGGGAGCACAGAAATCAGCATTTGAATAATACAAGGATAATCTTTACACAGTGCACAATATGTATGCCCACAGGAACTGCAGCCCAGATTATACAACTCGAATCTAAGGTGAACTCAAGGAAAAACAAAAGGAAAGACAAGAATCTAGAGAGACAAGTTTCAGCCATCTATTAGTGGTTTTTACCTGGCTCTTCCCACTGGGAATTCTGTTCTTCCTAGAAAGCTCAGGGGGAATCTTTCACCCAGAGCACCTGCAGAGTCTCAGGTAAGAAAGAAGGCAGTTTTGTCCAGGCTTGCATCCTTGAAACACAGAACACTTAAAATTTTTGGTGTTGTTGTTTCTTTTTTTTTTTTTCCCAAACAAGGTTTCTCTATTTATAGCCCTGGCTGTTCTGGAACTCTTTCTGTAGATCAATCTGGAACTCAGAGATCTGTCTGTCTCTGCCTTCCCAAGGGCTGAGATCAAGGCGTACATCCCCACCTCCAGGTAACACTTAAGAACATTTAAATCATAGAAGTAGCTAGTTGTTGTGGTAGGTGGCACATGGCTTTAATCCTAGGCAGAAGTAGACAGATCTCTTGTGGGTTTGGAGCCAGCCTCATGTATATAGTGAAACCCTGTCTCCAAAATGATAAAAAAAAAAAAAAACAACCAAATTAAAAACAAAACAAAACTGGAACCAGGTGGAGGTTTATATTTAGATGGGAAGTAAACTTGGAAAATGTGGGCCACTTTGGTTTCACTTGTGTGTATTACACCACAATTCTGCGGGGCCCTGGGTCTGCCAATACTTTCTCTATGGACACAGCACTTTGCCAGTGCCAGTTCTACTGAAATCCTGCTAAGTCATGATCAAGAAAGTTCAAATACCACTCTGACTGCTTCAAATTTGGAACTGTGTAGGCAGTTCTCCCTCATGACAGGGGTTTGAAATGTCCTAGGTTCTTGTGGGCCTCTCAGTGTGGACGCTGGCTTCTGGAGGATTAGAATCTGTCACAGGCTCTGTGCCGGTGACAGGTGCCTAGGGATCCTTTCATCCCCAAAAGATCCCACTTAAGAAAAAACACACAACTTAGTCTCTTAATTAGGTTCATTTTAATAAAGAGTATAGGAGTTTACAACCCAAACAATTATCCATAAAAACTGTCAGATACATAAGATAAACCACACAGAGTGAACAACATAAATCCAACAGCCTGCAATGAGAGGTACTACAATGACTGCTAGGAATGACCTTCTGGTTTCCCCTCAAGATTGTTTGCATGTTAAGGATTCCTGAGGCCTGCTGACCTCAACACTCCTTCCAGGCTGCTTAGAGCTCCTCACTGTATCAACTCCAAATACTGCCAGCAGAGGGCGCTCATCTTCCCTCCTTGAAACACGCATGGTCGTTGGCCTCTGTTATTTGGTTTCTTTTCCCTAAAAATGACATCAAATGTTCCATTCAAAATAACGTCTTGAAGGCTCTGTGGTACAGGTCACCACTGTCCTTCCAGTGCCACCACAAGAAGGTGCTTACTTGGGAAGGAGTCTGAAGCAACGGCTGGTCAATTCCCTCACCACAGATGCAAACAATTCCATTTCTAACTTGGGAGGTTTTTGGCAAAGGGAACCGAGCTGCTTGTGCCAGCTGCCTGTGGTCCCTTCTTAGCCCTCTTCAGATGACTAACTGGAAGGGCTGGAGTTAACACCATGAAGGAAGCAGGAGGATGCATGTCTGCGCTGAGAAACTCTTCACAAAAATCTTTGGTAGACTTGCAGAACAAAGCAGGCTCACCGTTTCTGAAGTAGAGGATTTTACTGTCTCAAAGTGAAGGTGCTGGCGACTGAGCAAGGGTCCTCACCTCACACAGTCTGAGCAGGCGGTGTCAGCCAACCCTAACCTGTCCTTGACTGGTATTTAAAAATCCATTCTGAAATTCCTTGACAAAAGGAATCTGATCCCTCTGGCGTGTGTGTGTGTGTATGTATGTGTGTATACACATGTGTATACACATATACACACATGCATATATATATATATTTCTACCATAAGGCAGTACAGGCCATGTTCACTGTTCACTATCAAGTCAGAACTATGGCGCACTTGCTGAAGCCAGAGGCTGCTGAAATATACCTGACAAAACTTACAGAGACTGGCCTAAACCACATGTAGTTAATATTTAGCGTGTGTTTGTGTTTTGAGACAAGGTCTTGTTATGTAGTCCAGGCAGGCCTTGAATTCAGAGCGAGCCTCCGTTACAGGCATGTATCCCCGTGGCCAGCACTCGGCTCGTGTTGCTATTCTAAGGCCCTCTCACATATGTGCTCATTCTAGAGCCATGTAGGACCGGGGGAGGAGCTCCTCCCCATGTCCTAGGAAGGCTGGGTCCTGCCAACCCTCTCTGTCCTTTATTCCACTTCACTGTTAGATTGTCAAGGCTGGCCTGAGTCCTAAACAGACCTTTTACAGCAGTAGCAAGGAAAACAGCCATGAGTGAGTATGACTGTTGAGCACCCACTGCTTGGTGAGACCAGGAGAATGCTGGGGGAACAATTAAGGGAGAGCAGCAACGGGGAAAGGGAGCATGGAGATCTCCAGGGGACAGAGCAGGAAGCCACCTACAACTGGACACTACTTTTTAATTTTAAACATTTTGAAACCTTTTCTTTTTTTTTTTTGTTTTTTGGTTTTTCGAGACAAGGTTTCTCTGTATAGCCCTGGCTGTCCTGGAACTCACTTTGTAGACCAGGCTGGCCTCGAACTCAGAAATCCGCCTGCCTCTGCCTCCCAAGTGCTGGTATTAAAGGCGTGCGCCACCCACGCCCGGCCTTGAAACCTTTTCTTTAATGAAGTTTTTTACTAAGTTTTCAAGTGTGCTGGTGGTTAAAACAAATATTGACAAAGGCTATGGTTCAAAACTAAAAACTCAAAATGACATGATTCTACTTATAATCCCAGTGTCTGCTCTTTTAGGCAAGCACTGGCGGGCTGGGAAGCAGGGTGGCCATGAGAAGGCAAGGTGTTCCTGCCTTTACCACTGTTCTTCTGCAAACTACCGTCCATCAAAACAACTTGGATGCTGATAGAAATGCTGGGACCAGCAGCCATTCTGGAGTTGACTGGGATGTGATCTAAAGTTTGAATGTCAAAGACACCACAGAGGGCCACATCTCTACTTTTGAGGGACCCAAATGGACTCCACTGGAAGTTGCCCATGTACTGCTAGTGAGGGCACTGCATCTCCTGGTCCCTGGTTTTCCATTTTAAGTTTCCTGTTTGAAGTAATGCGTATATATCATACAATTTGATACATGTTTTGACTATTCTCATTTACAGAATAAAAATACAGAATTTCTTATCATCAGATCACTCTAATACTTCACGTACTAGTGAAGACTAGCTCAAAACACTGACAAGCACAGACGCCAACACATAAATATACAACAGGCTGCTAAAGCAGCACTTTCTTGACCATTTAGAAGAACTCAGTTGCAAAACAAACAAAAAACAAAAAAAAAAAACAGAGACATACCATGGGTTAGTGAGTAGAAGATTGTTTTACACACACACACACACACACACACACACTGGGGCATCTGCCAGTACATAGGTCTTCAACTCCACAAGTCAGCCAGGACAAAACAGGCTGTATGAACTGAAATCTGCTTTCAGCACCAACTTCTGTTCACTTTCTCTGGTGAGACTGCTCACCATCACACGGCAGAAGCATCTTGTGCTGTCTCCCGGGACTGGAGTTAAAGAAACCCAGTGGTCGCACGTGCTAGGTAAGCACTCTACCACCTAACTATAAACCAAGCCGCTTTAAAGTTTGATAGTAAGATCTTGCTAAGCTGCCTTTTGCCTCCACATGCCACAGAAGTTCATTCATTATTTCATTTGTTTAGACTCTAACCATGGATTTGGTGCTAAAGAGCTGTCCTGTAATCTAAGAAATCGGTCACACGTACGCTAACTCTGTTACAGTGTTCATTAGTCAGTTAATAGGGCTAAACCTAGGGCCTCTACTGTGCCCGGCTCCATCTCTGAGCTATGCACCCAGCCTAGCACACCATTTAGAAGTTGATTAGTACATGACACAGAGTAAGGCATTGCCTAAGGATATTCTGGCTCATCTCTGTCTACTGAGTCAAAAGAGCAAAGTCTCTGGTGTTTCCTATGAAATATACAAAGTGACGAACACACAGCAGAAACTAAAACAAACAAAGTGCAGTGCTTTGTTGACAATGTTTTCCTCTTCCTTGTTAGTAAGTGTTACAGTATGGTCACTAGGAACTCACTACTGTTCACAGATTTTAAGCACTCTTAATTCCCTATAAAAAAACAAATATCTCTGGATTTCCACTCAGGATGGCATCCCACAAGGACACCTGATCTTTAAATTACACACTGATCCTGTAATCCAGATTCTTTCCAGCACCTCCTTCAGAATTCATCTGTTGGTTATCATGTGTCAGATTTCCTTCACAAATCACTAAGTAAGGAAAAAACAGTCCACATGTGGTCACATTTATCCTCTATTCAAAGATAGTAGATAGACTTTCCACTCAGATCTCCAGCAAGAATAAAAAGAGGCCCTAAGTCCACACTTCACAAATGATTAAACTATATAAGATAAAGAATCCATGATTTTATTCTAATTTGGACCTTGTGAATTGAAATGACTGATTAGACAGAACAATCCAGTAATCAAAGGAAGAAGTCTGTAGCCTGTTACCGAGGTGATGTTGACCTTCCATTCTCAAGTTTCTCATCAAGAGATGGGTCCATCTGTGTTGCCAAGGCTGGCCATGAGATTCTGGGCTCAAGCTGTTCTTCTGGCCCAGCCTCCTAAGCAGCTGGGACAATAGCTATGTGCTGCTACCTAGGAGGAGCTGCGGCATCACACAAGGGCTCTCTGAACAGCGCCATTGCTTCTGCACATGCCTTGGAGGATTTCATCTGACGACAAGCGTGGGAAGTTTGGTTGCAAAGTTCCATGTGCATTAGTCAAACTACTTATTTAATAGAAAGACAATTTTATATCCACTATTATACAGGAAATTCAAAAATAATAACTGTGAGAAAGCAAATTCCTAAAGATAACATTTAGCCTTTACTGAAGTGAAAGGCAGGTTTCTGGTGGATGGAATCCTCAGATGGCGCTGCTCTGGCCCTGACACACTGTCTGTTATTTAAACAGATGGAGAATGCTGAGAAGAAAAGTAGTGAAAAAATGTCCTCTCTAAAGACAGGGTTTCATTCACTGGTTGGCCTGGAACTTGTTATATAGACAGGCTGGCCTCAAACTCAGAGATTCACCTGTCCTTGCCTCACAAGTTCTGGGGTTAAAGGTGCCTGGCACCATAAAAAGTAGCCATTCTTATGTCACGTCAAGATGTCTAGATTTTACTGTATTATTTTTGTGTGCTGATGATAGACCTCAGGGCACTGTGCATGCTAAGCATGCATTTCTTCTGCTGAGTTGTGCACCCAACCCCCTACTTTCAAATTTAAAGGCTATCACAACTAATTGATTCCAAGTGCGGCCTGGCATCCAGGCTGCAGTCCTGGATGGATTTTCAGGAATTCTTCTTTTCTCTTTTGGGACAGTGTGCCATGCAGTCTAGGCTGCCCTGGAACTCCTTCTTCCTGCACCACCTGAGTGCCCTGCTTGCAGTGGCATGCTACCGTGCCTACCTTCTAGCAATTTTTACATCCCTCATCTAGTTTGGTACACAGCTCTCCACACTTCCCAGGCAGGCGGAGGAAGTGTCTATGAGAAGCAGTGAGTGTGCACCTGGGCTTGGTGCCGACTCTTTCCTCAGTGGAACGCCCCCATGGAGTCAGGGCTTATTTTAAGGCAGTAAAAATGAAGGGCATGAAAAACACTAGGAATGAGTCAGAGCCGTCCAGACATAAAAACGTACTTCTGAACACGAGGCCAGTCACCTGTGTGCTCTACTTTAACACCTGAAAGGAACAGATCATGTAAAGATTTGCAAGGACAACTGACCAGCTCTTTTCCAGTCTCAGTTTACTTGTAGGTCTCAGGTCTGTACCCACTTACGAGGCAGTAGAGGTGTATGGGAAGGGTTTGGGGAAAAAACAGGCAGACTTAGCTTGTGGCTTGGACTCCTGATTAATGAATTTCACAACAGTGGTACCCAGGCAGAATTCCCAGTGGCTGGACCTCTGAAGAGTCTCTTCCCCTGTTGCCAGGAAAACACAGGACCGATGACTGTTTTGGCTGAGAGGAAAGGGTGTTGAGATATGGTGACCTGGAATTCAGTATTAAGCCCATGATGGTCTCTAACTTGTGGCAATCCTCCTGCCTCAGCTTCCCAAGTGCTAGGATTACAGTCATGAGGTACCTACCATGTCCAGTTTTAGGAAATTGATTTTTCAAAACCAGGTAAATGGAATTTAAAAAATTCACTCTGACACTTCAGTTCCAGCAGGATTGCCCCAAATTGTCCGACAACTTCAATTCTACCATGAGAAGAAAAATCTAAATAAAGCCAAGGTTCAAGTCAGGTCAACAGGCAACTTCGAGAAAGCGAGTGATTTGATAACGGAGGTAGGCATGGTGGTCTCACTCAGAGGACAAAGGGTTCTTATACACATGAGCAAGCAAGCATCCACACTAGTCTGAAGAGTGGACTGTGGGAGGCAGAGCGCTTCTCACATCTCTCTACTCCTTTACACGACAGGGAACCTGACCTACAGCATGCACTCAGGGCCAGCGTGGCTCCCTCAGACTCAGTGACAGACCCCAGAGTACTTCTGAGCTGCTGGCTCCATAGGAATGAATGATGAGTAGCCGGAAGAGTAACTCCTCCAGATGTGCAGTAGGCTTGTATTGCTCTTCTATCTAGAAATCTCTCTGTTCCAAGAGTATTGTTGAGTCCTGGAGGGATCAATCTTAATTCCTCAATGCAAGTGACTCCAACAGAAGCTGTAGGAATTCAAAGTCATGGTATAATGTAGCCTCCATTAACTGGGGGTAAACTATTCCTGGATTTAAAAGGTTTCCGGGCAAAAAAAATCAGAATTCTGAGTGCGTTGGAAGGCCTCTACGAAGGTGACACAAATGCCACAAGCCTGGGAACGAAGAACAAAAGCTGCAAGTGTGACGTAAGGAGCTTCTGCTGGGTCACACAGCAACTTGGCTAGTTGCCTTGAAGTGATTCTGCTCTGAGGCAGGGGAACTGCAAGGTCACAGTGGATGGGATTTGCTCCCTGAAAGGCCAGCCAGGAGTGGTGTGATGGGTGCTGGTGGGGTGGGTGGAGGCAGGCCTCAGGCTAGTCTCTGCTCCTAGGGTTTCTGCTTGCCTGCTTTTGAAGGAAAGGGTGCTAAAGCAAAAGGATCAGCGGTGGCCAGCTCTGTAGTCCTGGAGGACAGGGATGTGACAGACACAGAGCCAGCTAGCAGCTGCTTATTGCTTTGTGAAACTATCTTGTAGGCAGCGATGGGCTGGGCTTCTGGGCTTGGCTCATCTTCTGGGCTATAGTGTCTAGAATATTTGGATAAGGCCTGGGGGCGGAATGGCTTGCCAGCCGCTGGCCCTGAAAAGGCTTCTTTCTGGGGCTGCAGTCCTCTATTTCTGTCATTAGAATGGCTCCCAGAGTTCAGGGGAGAGCCCCTGGGAGAGTTGCTGTCAAAATGGTCTGCCACCTGGACAGAGTGGGAGGGGAGACCAGCCTGTGGTGCAAAGCCAGTCACAGGATACTGCGCATGTGCAGAGGTGTACAGGGCTCTATCTCGGCCTCCAAGTAGGGGCCCTTCGCTGGACTGACTGAGGTTGGCCTGTATCGGCAAATCCTGCGAGGAGCCCTGCACAGCCAGGAACTCATCCATGCTCCTCTTCTTGGTAAAAGGAGCTCTGGAGAACACATCCACTTCCTCCGTCTGGGAAGGAGCTACACTGCCCTTGGAAACAAAAGGGGCTTTGGAGAAAATGTCCATATCATCTGCTGGAACCAGAGAGCTCCTGAAGGGGGCTGTAGCAAAGACATCAGGCTCCCCGAGATCATCTGAGGCTTGCTGGTTGATTGGCACGAACTGGCTATTTTTCCCGCCTTGTCCTCTTTCTTCTGGCTCAGTGGACACCCCAGATTCAGAGAACAGGGTGGCTTCTCCCAGCTTTTCCTGGAGAGGCCTGCAGCTCTCATCCTCCTCCTCAGACTCCAGAAGGAGAGGCCGAGACCCACTGCAGTCCAGCATGTCCCCCTCCAGGTCAGTGCCCTCCTCCTCACTGCTATGGAAGGAGCTGTTGCTGGAAGGACCCTCGCGGGCCAGAGAATCAGACTCTAAGGTGTTCTGAGTCTTTGTGCCAGGAGCTCTGCTGGGATCTGGATAAAGGGGGAGGCCTTTGGTGCCCATGGATTCTTTAAAGTGCTCTACAGTAATTACAGGACAAGGACTGGGCTCTCTCTGGAGACCTAGAAAAGCATAAAATTTAGAATTAATTTGGATGCTGGTTCAGAGCTTTTTGGAAAATTTAATATTCAACTGAGCAGACACATTGTGGAACCAAAGGATGGATGTTGACAATGGAAAAACAGAAAAAAATAAAAAAGTCAAGCAAGGTAAATGCACACAGACTGAAGAGCAAGCACCACCTCACACTTTGGAACATGAGAGACACAATGGGCAGGAAAGGTGAGTATGTGAGGCACACCGACACTCAGGGCAACGAGGCAACACTCCTACTGCAGGCCAGGCATGGGTGCCTGCTCTACCTGGCTCAGAGGCAAATGAAAGCAGCCCAGTCATTCTTCTACACACACACCAGACAGACTTGGGCTATGGTGACTTGGGCTCCTGGGCAGGAGCTTAACTGGCATCTGACATGTGTTCCACGTGCAGAGGGACAGACTCCCTGACAAGCAGAGTTCGGCTGTCAGTAAGTGCACGCTTACTTGATGACATACTGCAAATGGTACTCTCAGAGCAAGTGATGCCGATGCAAATACTGAGGATACTTTCTGAGTCACACTAGATGACATCAACTTTGGCTGGAGTTGCCCTACAATTTTGTTTTTAGTGTCCCAGGTTAGCAAAGTTCTCTTTAATGAGCCCACCATTGAATTCTTTAAGCAGAACTACTAGCAAACTCCAGATACTAGCGCAAGTACTTATGTAGGTAGAGGTGCCTCTGGGTATACTGGCTTTTAAAATCAAATAGACAATTATCAGAATGCAACAGAGCTTACCTTCCAAGAAATATTAGCAGGTTAGGAGTATGTCATTGGGCACATGTTAGCAAGAGGGTAGGAAAAAGGCATATGTAACTAAGCAAGAAGAATCCAGAGGGTAGTTGGGGTGGGGGTGGGAACAAAATATATTTCTTTATGGGCTCAAAAAAGAAATACCACCAGAATGGCCCAACCCACGAGGATATTAGCTATTGGCTATTCCCTCCCCATCTGGGCCCTCTCCCCCCACCCACCTCTACCCCCAGTGAATACCTAGCCAGACAGGAATTTCTGCTATACATTGCTGGCTACTAACATTCTTGCTTGAACTAAGCACACAGAGCACAGAGGAAGGGGCTACAAAGCTGAGTTTATAGGGAAACTGGTTACTTATTGAGGATTTACACTGTCGAGAACACAGGGTGGGTGGGGTGGGTGGGTGGCACTGAACAGTTTATTAAAAGACACTATACAAAAGTACTGGTTTTTTAAATCCTGTAACTTTGCAAAAGCAGTGCTTCATTTTAATCAGTTGGCAATAAATAAATTTCAGGTTCCCTCTCCCATTTTTATTTCAAAATTCAAATTTTAAGCTGAATTCTATATGGTACAGTGTGGCTTTCTGAGTAACATCTGAAAGTTGTGGTTTTGAAGAGAAGGAACTTTTCCTTGTGTTGTAACTCTGCTGAGTGCAGTGAAGTGTTGATACAGAAACCAGTAGGAAATAAAGACTTCCTATTCCCTCACAGTGTATATGGACACAATTCTAATTTATCAGGCAAGAGAAATGAGGTTAGATTCATCTCAGAGATACCCAAGTGACAAATTCTGAGGGAACTAAATGATGGCGGGGGGGGGGGTAGGTAGAACTACTAACTTTCAAAATAAAGCTCACCAAGAAATGTTAAGAGGCTCCCAAGAGTCCATAGGCCTCCCTCTTACACATTAGCCTCAGGTGCACTTCCTCTCCTTTCCAAAACTACCTGAATGCTGGTGCTTCTAAGCTGGCTATACAGCAGAGCACAGTATCCTTTAGCATAGAGAGACAGAAGGGCAGGTCAAGCTAATGACTGGCCGACCCTGGTATTGTATGGACAGATCATCAAATGACAGTTTTCACTGCAGTCAGTGACTTGAGGGAACTGAAACTGGATTCATTCAAACCAAGTTACATACAGACTGCAAAAGGCAGCTATCCACCTGGAGACCCAGGGCCTGATGCTGTCAATGCAATTCAGAGGCCTATGCAGCAGCGAGGGAAAACTCCCTCATCCATAATGGGACATGCCCAGCCCATGCAAACTCTCTGTCAAGTAGCAACAAGGCTTTGAGTCAAGAACACAGGAGAAAACCCACCAACTCAGGGCATCTTCTTTTGTCTTTTGAAGTGAATAGGAAGATATTTTATGTTTAAAATACCAACAGCTTTAAAAAGTTCAAAATCAACTGGGTGTATAGTGATTCATTCCTTTAATTCAGCACTTGGAACATCAAGGCAGATTGGTATCTATGAGTTCAAGGCTAGCCTGATTGACACAGCGAGTTTCAGGCTGTATAGTGAGAACTTGGCTATAAATAAATAAATAAATAGATAAATAGATAAATTTGTGAAGTCATAAAATGCCATAGCATCAAGTATGAAGGGGAAAGCCTCTCATTATTCAAAAGAAGTTTCACAGCAATTTCCTCGATCTCACTGATTGGAAAACATGTCTCTAATGGGGCTTCTTGAAAAGTCTGTCTCTCAATCTTTCTTGTAGGTGCAGTGTGACTGAGGCAGAGTAACTAGGCCTAGCATTTTGGAGGCCAAAGAAATACTATATGGGGAACCCAGATGTCTATGACTCCAGAGAATTCTGGTGGTGGTAACATGGCAAACAACAGAGTTGAGGGGAGAGGCATATAGAATCCTACCGACAGGTAAAGATTTTACTGTTCACCTTTTTGGTGAATGTGTTCTTGTAGGTATTTTTAGGGGTGAATACCCTTTGCAGTGGGAACCACCTTGAGTCAATGGCAGACTACCTCTGAAGGAGCCTGACTTCTAGGGGGAAGGATTCACCCAACTTCCCCTCTGCTAGATCAAGTTCTTTTGGTTAAAAATGACAGACAGCAGATACCTTGTAACCAAAGAACAAAAACAACACTCAACAAAAATTCTCACCTGTCATCCTAGCCCAGGACCAGGCCTCAAGGGGTGCAAGACTTTTGTTCACCATGAGGTATTTTCTCGTAACTCCCTCAAGCTGGATCCTTTTTCCTTTTGTTTTCAAAACTTCTAGAAATAACCCCACCTAGTTCTGTATGGTTTTGAGGCCATAAGTTATACAGGTTTCAGCACAAGCTCACACATCTTCACCATTCCCTGCACTGTCTTGGAGACCAGTGTGGCAATCCTGGGCATGACTGACCCCAGGAATGCTATCTGATTGACAGTGAAGTCATTAGAGTCCTCCCTAAAGAAGCAAATCTAAGATTTAAAAAAATGTATTACTGTGTGCATGCACAAGCATGTGCCAACAGTGTTCAAGCAGTGGTCACAGGATGGTTCCCTACCTCCACCCCATGGGCTCTAACTCGGGTCATCAGCTTGGCACAGGTGCTTTTACCCAATGGGTTATCTGACTGGCCCCAAACCTGGGATTTAAATCTCAGGCTGGCTACTCTGTAGTGTGTGTTAGAGCTTTACTTGTCTCTACACTCGAACTGAAACAATGGTGACAGGGAACTGTCAGGGAACGTCAACAACAAAGCCCTGTCAAAGTCTGAAGTGATGGCTTGGGTATCAAGATTTAGAAGCAAAATGCCCCAACAAGATGTGTGGCCTCAGCTGAGCAGCCTGAGATTCCTCCAACCTTTGGTGTTCACGGTAACCCCAGCACTTGGTATCCCTTATGGTAGGCAATTGTGAAAAAGCCCACGGCCGGACGCCAGGAACAATTAAAGAGAGCTATTTCTCCCTGGGCGTAAATACATTCTTGCTATCCTGGCATTTTACTTGATTGGCCAGAGTGTATTAAAGACTAAATTAGAGGACAGCGGCTGCTAATTGGTGCCATTTTGTTACCTAAGTATGATCCTGGCTGACGTGTTGGTAGGCCTCTCATTCTTGACCGTGATGGGCTTCATTCCCCAGGGTGGTCATAACTCACTAAACCTCAGGACATCTTGCACAGCTGCTCACACTGGTATTTGCAGCCACTAAACAATGTGCTCAAGTCTTTTCATAGGAATAGGACAGCTACCTTAAGCTATTTACACATCTAAACATCATGCACTTGTTTGAACAGATAAAAGCTTTATTCCTCTGTATGTTTACATAAGAAATTTGTTTACAGACTTATTTTATACAATACTTGCGAAGCAGTATTCGTTTTTCACATTTTACTGCACAAGATAGCTTCATTACATCACTTTGCTTAGCTTCCCTGGGGAAGACAAGTTAAAGACCTAAGGTAAGAATCCATCCATGTGATAAAGGCATGTACAACAGGGCAGAGGAGAGTACCCACAGATAGTGAATTCGGGACACTGAATCAAAGCGAGAAGCAACGAAGGACTTCCCTCCTATCAACCTTTGGGAACTCTGCATAAGTTAGCATTACCCAGGCAGCCAAAAGGCCTCAATCTTCCTTCTTAGAGAAAGGAAACCCAGGGGAAACTACATAGGAGATCTTGTTAAAGACTTTGAAATGGAAGGCAACTGGGACTCATTCAGTTCACAAAAGCCAAGTACATCCATCTTGGGGAACATTATCATCACGGAAAGGAAAGGTCTAATTTTGCACTGGTAAATGAGTCTCTAGAGAGGGCTATGAATCAGCTTGCAGTATCTGAAGTGTCTCACTCAACAACCTCACTGTAATCTTTATGTCAGCAGCCTCTCATCTGCTGAAGGGTTCTGAGCCATGCTGTCATTCCCTAGACTCCATGTCAGTGGCAACAGACTGTGTGGGTCACCTTACAGAGCAGGAAGGTAAAGACTGTTAGATGCCAGAGAAGCCTTGTCACAGGGATTTTGGCTTGGCCAAAGGTGTCTACAGCATTCCTTTGTTCAGCTGAGCATGGACTCCCAGGCCCATCTAAGGACTCCTCATTCCCACAGCACTGCTGAAGGCAGAACTAATCACCTGGGGGAAGGCTATGTTGGTCTGAATCAAAACAAACACTCATCGGGAGGAGCGTAGAAAATGAGAATTGCAAACCACAAAAATATCAAATCTTCAGTGATCAGTAATCCAAGTTCTAGAATTCTGATCTGATCAGGAAGAGCCAAGTCCAACATAAAATGTGAATAAATGACAACCTCTTTCAGGGGTTATCTTTAAATACTCTAAAGACCAGAGGAGTGCAAACTATCCCTTACTTAGAGTGATGGTGAGATCCCTCTTGGCTCTAGAAATTGCCTATGGCTTTCAGTGTCTTCAGTGGTAATTGCTCTTCATCTCACCCAGTGGTTTTGCTTTTTGGAATAGCTCAATATTATTCAAAGGCAGAGGTGTGGGGAAAACAGATAAGAATATGCTGTGAGCGAGGCTACTGGGAAAATGCAGCCATGTCCTTGCTACCTTATCTGGTCATGTTACGTCTAAGAACAAGAGTTTAAATAACTCAGATGCCACTGGCCTGCCTAGGGTCACCATTCCCTTCCCAAGCAAAGTCAGATGCTTCTGGAGGGAACATTCAACCACATGAAACATTTTTGATATGTCTACTTCAGAAATCAGTGTAATAATTATACTACTACTTAGAGGTGACCATTTAAAAATATCTCCTCTGAGAACCGTATTTTTAGAAACTTTGGGAATTAAGTTTGGTTTTCTAGGGGAAAATACCAATTTGTGATACTTTCTGGCACAATAATTACTTCCACTTGTCAGAGAGAAGATCAAATAAAAAAATGTGCACATTGTATTTGCCCATATTTTAACAACAAATCCCTGATTATACAGATTAAAATAATAGAAATCTCTGAATTCTGTTTTACTGCAATAGGTAAGGTTGTGTGTACTTAATATTACAGAAAGAAAATCTACTCCAAGCTTTTGATGATGTGGGCTTTTATTAGGTAACTAGCAAGTAGCAATAAGGTTAGTAACTGCTCATTCTAATTCTGTGAGTAAATGCTGAAGAAAGCTGTAGGAATGGCAAGCGCATAGAAGCTACCTGAAGGACATCTGGATTGTATGATCCTTCATAGTCCTTCTAAACACAGCAGCACAATGATACTATGCTTCTGCTGTCTCACAGAGCACCTATCCAGATTAATTCTGTGTAAACAGCCAACAGCAGCTCTGAGGACTAAAATGTTCAAGGTCATAAGCCAGGGTCTAGATGAGGTCCCAGAAGCCTGAGCTGCCCTGGCCCCCTCTCTCACCATCCTGCCTTCACCAGCAGCTCAGTGCACACCAGTGAGACAAACTAAATGGGCTAGTGAGTAGGCATGCAGCACCTCTTACAGCTTACAGTTCAGTCTTGTCCCATGCATCTCCAGTTAGCACACACCATGCTCTTCTCAGGTCACTCCCTCAGCTTAGGCCGATACTGATCTAAGGAAGTTTGCGCTGACCAAGTCACTAGAATGTATTCCTCAACAGAACAGCTCTGCCAGGCAAAGGCTTATTCCTGAAGAACCAGCCCAGGTCTCTAGCTGTCACACCCAGGCTTTAACCATCTTCCTTGGTGATAGTCTGTGAATTTTCATTAGTGTCTCTATTAAGCCTTATTGAGCCAAATGACTATACAATATATCTCAATATAATTACGCTTGACACACGGAAGAATGGTTTAGAGACACTTAACCTAATTTCTAGACTGCACTCTTCATAGCTGCAATTAAACTTGGAAAGTAGACATTTCATTATATTGCTAATGTTTATATGAGAAAAAAAACAAATATGAAAACACAGACCTAAAACATTATCCTTATTTAAAAATAAACATTTCCTTCATTAGTTTATACATTCTTTCTATGTCCAGGAAAAAGGACACAACCATTTCCTGTCCACCAAGGGGTTAACCAAGTCCTGCTTCCCTCAGCCCACATGTGGAGAGCTCTTCGTGACATCTCCATCCTTGCTGTACACCACGTCTCGCTCACTTGTGGAAAGCATCTCTTCTATCAGAGGCCTTTCCTCAGCTCATCTAGGTTCAGCTGACACAGGAAGTATTTAAAGTCAGAAGGAAGACTGAGTGTCCACTCTTCCTGCTGTCACATTGCTGGAGACAACGGTGGCCCTCCAGAGGGCAGTGTTTGCAGGCTTGCGCTGCTGCTGGTTCCCCACCACGTAAAGTGCAATATGAGCAAGAAAAAAACAGCATTGTAGTGGAGAGCAAGCCGTGGGATCTGGGGTTTTATGTGTACAGATCTGATGGACTCCCTTCCAACCCCTGAGGACGGCACTGGAGGAAGGGAGTTCTCTGTGCCTGCTCCTCTCCTAAAGGGTGATTTTTACAAAAGTGCTCTCCACACACCTTGATGTAAGAATACAGAGGGTGACCAGGAGGCATGTTGTAGGGCAAGTGCAGGGCTTTTATTTAACTCTATCAATGACAGTCCAAGGTTAGTGAAGAACTACTCTTTGTTTGGTCTTTGAAATCTAGGAAGCCAAGGAAAACCAACCGCACATATTCCATCAGCGTCAGCCTTCAACTTAAACACCAGAGAGAAGGTAAGCAGCCAGCCAAACTGTGCCCAGAACACTGATGTGTTATTTCTGATGATCTGAAAATAAACAACATGCTCGGGTATACAGAGACAGAGGCCTGCTGAAAGCTTTGAGCAAGACATAAACTCTACTCAAGATAATTCTGTGTGTTACACTCTAGGTGCTATACGGTTATACATGGGAAAGCGATCAAACCCCTGTACAGACACTGATGTCAGACTTGAAATGCCAAGTGGAAACAGAACTATTCAGCATCTTCATTTATACACAATTTACAATATTTGATTCAAAATAAAAAATCACAAGAAAAATACATCTGTTTCTGCTACAATTCCTTCCCTTCCCCTCCACCCCCCATGAAAAGTCTTCTAGTAAAAGGTATCATGTTCCCACCACTGTCTTGTTTTGGTCTACTTCTGAGATCCCAGCGTGGGCCAGGTGCCATGGAAGGATGGCAATGCTTGGTATTTATATCACATACACATTTATTCAAGGATCTCAAACACTTGCAGTCACACCTCCAGATTTGAGAAACCACGATTCAGTGGGAGCCAGACAGCTAGACAAACGCCGAGAAGGTTGCATGGGGTGCAAGATCCCTTGGCTCAGTCTATTATCAAACAAGGTCAAAGTTGGCTGGCTAGAGCTGAGCCCAATTTCTCTTCACAAACACATCTTATTGGGTTTTGCCCTGTTTAAACTGCACACCCGTCTCCAGACTTCTGCCCGGGGGAAGACCAGCCATAGCTGCCATGTCCTCATGATACTGCATCGGGAGAAAAAGCAAGAATGGACACACATTCATCAGCATCTGGGAGACAGGCTATAGGACTGACATGGGGGCCATTCCTAGCAAGAATGAGACAAAAAGTGTCCATCACAGGCTCAGTGACAGCCAAGCTTCTGTGAGTGGATTCCAGCAGAGGTGAAGCTCAGGGCAGTTAGCGCTTGAGTTAAGATAATGCTATTGAAGATGGGGAATGAGAAAACACAGCAAACTAACGAGAGGAGCCGGCCAAGGAATGGATCTGGAGGGTCAGAGACTTTTCTTTCCTTATCATTTCTATAGGAGAAGGCAAGGGATAGGAGAAGGGAGCTTGAGGGCCCCTTATTTGCGGATTTAAAAAAAAATCTTTTTTTCTCATAACTCCGTAATGAAAATGTGTATTACGGCATGAAGGTTACAGAACTGAGTCTGCTCCTGGCTCACGGCTACAGGTCTATGAGCTGATCCACCAGCAGCAAAGACCTGGCTAGGTTGGGAAGACTGGACTCAGAGCTCCCACTGCTGTTCCTAGAGTGCCCACCTGGAAGCGGAAAGACAGGATTCAGTACAAAACAGGATTAGGTTAGATGTGCGAGCAAGCGAAGGAGAAAAAGGAAAACAAAGAAACCCAGAGAAGCAACATCTCATATTTAAAAAGTCTTACATGTTGATTTCTAAACATAACCACTGCGCCACCACCTCCCACCGACAGCTCATTCCATGCACACCACAGTAGAGGCAGCACACTGCAGAGATGCTGCTGGCTCCAAACCAACATTTTGCCCAAGAAGTTCTGGCTACCATGCTAGCCTCCTACCAATAGACAGCCATCTCTCCCACAAAGTAAAAATTAATTTACTTTGGGGAAAATTAGCTATTAGGATATTGCAATACGAACATGCTTTTCAAAATGAGTAAGTGGTGTGTTTTGGTGTTTTGTGCATGCTCACATGACTCAACCCAAAGAGAAAAGAGACGTTCCATAATGTCGACAGATACAGCCAGCACCAAAATGTCACCATTAGCTCTCTGGTCAGAATCTGTATCTATCACATATTTTCTAATTATGATAAAAATATTCAATACTTCTGACATAGACCTTCAGGCTTCTATCAATCAGAGAGACTTTCTTTTTGGCTTGACATTTCATAAAAACTAAGTTTTCTCTAAACAAATCCAAGTCAGTGAGGTTCAAGCTACAGAGATCAGCATCTCCACCTGCCTCCCATGCTGGTCCAGCCTACACTGACTGCCATCCTCCAGTATCTTTCACCAAATAGTGATGCTCCCATTCACCATGCAGGCTGGGGACACTGCTTTGATGAGAACTGATGTCGAGCTTTCTCTTTCCTCCAGCCTCGTTCTTACCTTGTGTGGTTTTGGTTATCAGTACAGGAATAGGGTCAAACTCATCTTCTGCCATCTTTTCGGAGCCCTCAGCGACACCAAAACCTGAGATGAGATTACTATCTTCTGCAGCTTAATACAGAATGCAAGTACACAAGCAGAAACAACAGAGGAAGACATTAGCAAATGAGAGAACAGGAAGGAAGCACCAAGCCTTCAACCATGAACAACCACTATTCTTAAAGGTGAAAGCACTTACTTTTGTGAATTGAAATAAAAGTAGGAAACTGGAAAATACAGGTATATAGAAGTAAAAACTATAATTTATAATGTTAAAATTTCATACATAATTAAGAATTCTCCATTGTGTAGAGATCAAACAGTTGTGAAGTATCTCTGCAATGCTGATATCTTTATTAAGTCAACAGAGGCCTGACTAACAATGCTTGAAACACTCAAAGCTGGGGAAGGAGAACCTGTAGAGTCTGGGGCATGGTTCAGTGGCAGTGTGTGCTTTAGCAAGTGCAAGGTCCCAAATTAGATAGATCCCAGGCTCCAAAACCAACAGTGGAAGAGAAGTAACCAGGGCAAGCAAAGGCCCAGAGTCCTTGTTTTGTGAAAAAAGACTTTTAAATAACTTCAAATGCTGGGTCACAAAAGCACACACATTGAGACCACCAGCACAAGTTTCTCAGGCTACCCCTTTCTCCATTTTTGGGTTTGTTTGTTGTTTTGGATTTGTTTTGCTTGTTGTTGTTGTTTGAGACACTCTTATTCTATAGGTCTAATTGCCTAGAATTTACAGAAATCAGCCTGTCCCTATCTCCTTGGTGCTTGCATTAAAGACAGGTGCCACCATGCCCAGCATGTTCTCCATTCTAATTAAAGCCAGCCCCCGGCAATGCTGCCTGAGCACTATGTGGCAGGCAATGCTTCTCTGTGGTTACACATTGCTACAACATGCCCCTGCCAGCCATCAGTGTCTATACAGGTAACTTCCTGTGCCAGCTGTAAAACGAAACCAGCTGTCATCACTGCGACCCATGAGCTTTGGTTTTAGTTATCTCTGTGGCTTACTTCTTGAGTTTCCTTTAGGAGGAGCTTAACTTGTTCATCTTCTAGTACCTCTCTGTCACAGAAATAAGCTTGCTGTGTGCAAGCAAGCTATCACCACAACAGACCTGAGAACCTAATCCAAGCTACTCGGTCTGCAAAATCTCAAACCAAATGAAGCCAAAACTAAGAAGTGAAAATGGTGGACCAGCGAGAGAAACCCAGTAATCAATTATGACTCAAAGGTAAAATAATACTAAAATATTCACAAGTTCAATTTTTGAGGAATGATTTTTTTGAAGAAAGTGTTTCTTTACACTCAAAAACTCTGAATCAGATTTTATAAAATGATTTCATTTTCTTTTTGCTTTTGTTTTGTTTTTCAAGACAGGGTTTCTAAGTGTAGAAACTGTCCTGGAACTAACTCTATAGACCAGGTTGGCCTCAAACTCACAGAGATTTGCCTGCTTCTGCCTCTGCTTCCTAACTGGAATAAAATGGCATGTGCCACCACTTCCTGTCTTTGACTTTACTTTAAGGCTAATCAGTTGGCCCACCCATCTAGGTGGTTGGTCCTTAAGGCATGTGCTCCCAAGGGTAACATGGAATATCTGTATCTCAGTTCTTGGTTGAAAGCGATCCCTGCACCTGTCTGCAGTTGCTAGGGCCTATTTACTACTCTGAGAAGAACTGTAACAGTGCCTAAGACTAAAAACCCATGTTTTGTACAGAAATGAACAGTTTGAACACTTTATTAACAAAGACTTTTGATAAGGGAAGTCCCCAGGAGCTGCTGAGCAATTCTGCTCAGAGATACATGTGGGTCCAAGAAGAAAGACTTTACCTTTATGAGTGGGAGCAGAGAGTGCTATGGGGGCAAACTCTTCCAGAAGGTCAGCAGTAGGGTTAGAAAGCAGAGAGCAGTCAAGCAGAGAGTCTTCCCCCGTGAGAGAGTCTGAGTCCAGTTACCAGCATTCCAGGCAATGATGGCATTAAACAGCACACAACAATATGGTGAGGTTATAGCTTGACTTTCAAATTATTGCATTTACAGGCCATATATACAAGCCAAGGTACAGAAAGAAAATCAAAAGAAACATTAAGCTTTCCGAACTTCTAGCCACAAAAACATGCATCCTAGATTACATTTGGCACTAACATTCAAATATAAGATTTTTAGCTCAGAAACTTCTGGTTACACAATAAACACACTGTAACTTAACTACCCAAGTCTCAGCAGATACTGTTTGGAGAAAGGTCTTTGTGGCTAGAGTCTCACTTAACTTTTCCACTCAGGAAGAAAGTTACGACCCACTGAAGTGCTAACCCTGGTTCCCATTCGAAATGTCTCTTGCTCTTTATTATTCTCTACACGTTTTCATCCTTTAACATACGGTATTCTTTCTGTAAAGAGTTGGGGGAAAATTGAGAGATAAAACATTTGAGTGTTTCCTGAGAGAAACATCCAAGTGAGGACCAAGAGAACTGTGCCTTTGCCACATGCATTAATTTACCATTCCCTAAGGCACACCAGCAGACAGTCTTACCAAGGTAAGGAGGACTCAGACAAGATTGAAAATTTAAAATTAGGGTAAAGGCAATACTGGACCAAGGATGATTTCAGTGTTGCCTACAAGCCAAAAGAAAATCACCTCTAGAGGATGAAGCTCTGATCTGGTGAAGAATTATCAACAGAAGGGGATGAGTTCCACAGGCCCAACGCCACTAGGATGACATACTGAGGCAGCCGTTTATCTGAGCAGACTTCTGCTAAGAAGGGAGAGGGATCCTGCTACCAGAGAAGACAGTCTTTTTTCCCCCCTTTCTGGTATCGGGGAATGACTAGATCCTAGGACTTTGTGCATGCTCTGCAAGCACTCTGTCACTGAGCTATATCCCGAGCTGGGAAAAGAATATTGAATAACAAAAACCTGTAATCAGGGCGAACCAAGGAATCATTCTTAAGAAAAACATAGCTCCAAAAGGTACTCAGTTCTTTAGCACAAGGATATACTCAACATCCAGAAGCCAGGACTGTAAGAATAATTCATAGCATTCACTGTAAAACCAACCAGAATGCAAATAAACTGAGGCTCATCTGTCACAGGTGGGAAGCCCTGCTCTGAGACTCCTGCACTGACCAGCTCTGCATCTACACGGACCCTGACTGACCTGTGCGGTTCGAGGTCACAGATTCCGTTTGAGATGGGAGGCGCTGGGCAACAGGTGGCTCCAGTCCAGGTATGAGACTCTCAACAGCAACATCAGCTTTTTCTTTTGTACCAGGGCATTAACAGTGGAAAGGAAGGGATAAGAGGAGGAAGAAGTCAGAGGCTGCTCAGGAAAACCTGTGAAGGCTTGATTCCACAAATCTCAGGCAAGCTGTAAAGTACAGCCTGTGCCCCTGTTTCTGCTGTGTCTGGGTTTTGATGGCTGAGCATGCATGTACAAGGTCAACCATCAGGAATTCATATTGATCATTGGCTCCTATAAATTAGTGTGGGATACAAGCAACTTTCAAGCAACAAAATCTTCCATGTCAGGAAAGACTGGCTTCAAGACAGGCAATAGTGACTCACACCTGTAATCCAATAACTCTGGAGGCTGAGGCAGGAGGACTGCCATGAGTTTGAGCCCAGCCTGGCTCAATGATCAAAAAAGCCTTCAATGATCAAAACAGCTTCATTCATCATTAGTTTCAGCAATTTCCCCTCCTTCCATGACCAGATCTGGAATAAACATCTTCCAAGCTAATACACAATCCTCAAATTTTCCTCACCCTACCCACGATGTAGCAGGGAAGGGGTCTGCACATTACAATGTCTCAGACATGGAGGCCTACGTTTCTGTGAGGTAATGACATTCCCAAGTGCTAGCACTAAAGTCTAACGACAGAATCCTCCAAGAATCCAGGAAGTTTATATGTTTTGCTTATGAAGCATAAAAAAATGTAACTGAGCAAGCAGACCAGGCCACTGCCTTGTTTTTCATGGGGCTGAACTGCCAGGCAGACTTCATGGTATGGGTGTTTATTAATGAATTGACCTTCTAAAGAAGAATCAGCTCAAGTCTATTACATTCAGTGAAGTTCCAAAGACCAGTTAGAAATCAATTGTTTCACAAAGGTTTTCTTTTCGCACATTTTTCCTTATTCATATGAAACTTACTGAAGAAATCACAGAACATCAGTAAAGACCAGAGTTACAGGTTGTGTGCATGGAGAGCAGAAAATGACACTTCATTTGGAGTAGCAGGAATGGAGTTAACAGTCTGGACTGCTGGATTCCCACTATGCACTTGGGCACTTCTGCCCTCCACCCCCAACCCCATAGCAGGCATGACTGAAGAAACAGCTATTTTACCAATCACAGTGTCAGAAGTGCTGCCAAAAGGATCTGTCATAGGCAAGAGGTCAGGGAGCAGAAGAGAAGTATCAGGAGATTTGAGTCCCTCGATTAGTTTTTCTAGGTTGGGAAAGAGGTAAAGAAAAGGCAAAATGCAATGAGATTATAAAGCAAGCAGATCATTTACAGCTTCCCATGAAAACAGTTTAGAGATCCTCACTTTAAAGATTCACCATAAAAACAAAGACCGTTAGTATCTTGTTAACAATATGCTTTTCCAGGGCCAGCAAGTTGGTTCAGTGGGTGGTGTTTGCCACTATGCATGAAAAATTGAGTTCAATTCCAGGGACCTCACCAGTGGAAGGAGAGAATAAATTCCTACAAGCAATCTTCTGACTTCCACATATGCACCCACACACATGCAACACAAAACAAATACGTTAACCAATAAATGTAATTTTAAAAATTGTGCACCCTCCAAAAGACTTTCCAAAATGAGAAGGTAAAAAAGCTCAACAGGTAAACTGGGACTCAAGGGTCACTCAAGATGAGGACACTGGGTCTGTTTATCCCTTGTTTTCATTTGAAACATAACTTATATGATAACCATCACCAATTTTAAATGTATACAACATGGTGAATGTTTACACACTTGTACATTCATGTAATCACCAGTAAAGTAATAATACAGACTGTTGCCAACACTTCCAAACTCCTGTTCCACATACAATAAATCCTTCCTTTTTATCACAGGCACTAGCAACAACA